TAGAATTGATGTTCTTTACATCATCGAACGAACTTGTTTTAGTTTTTCTTTTTACAGCGGATATTCAATCTTTCTACGGTTTTTTAACATTACCTTTTGACGAATTTTAGTTTCACTGAATTGGAGTGCTTACATTACTCAAAAATCAAGTTCAGTGTAGACTTAATATGCTGAGCACGATCAAACAAGGCTTCAGAAGCGATCGTTGACCCTCTCGCAAGTATAGTGCAAGTATTAGATTGAGTGTCAAGAGATATTTGGGACTTCATTCGTTTGGTTTTTTCTCGCTCTGTGATTTGTCTTAAAGACTAGCAACATCCTCTTGGCCAATCAGATGCAAGACCGAGACCAAACGCAACTCGCGTTTTCCCGCGCTTCAAGCCGTTAGGTCATTTCTACTCTGAGTTCCCATTGGCCCCTTGTGGTGTTTGTCTTTCTTCAGATTGGCCACTGTGATCACGTGGAGTTTGGTTTCATAACACTCAATCGAAATGCGCTCTACTTTATAGGGAGAAATTAATCCAGAATGCCGCAATCGAGCATTGGAAAAAAATGTATTTTTTATTAACAAATATTTCAATAGATTTTTTTTAGGTGTGAATTGAGGATAATCAGAAAATTTTGAGACTGATTAGGACAGAAACGAGGTTCATACATAAAACGCAGCCAGCATACTGCTAGAATCAACAAAGGATCTTAGCACTGTGCAGGAAGTGCGTCATGAAACTTGGTAATGGGCCTTGCTTTCCATTGAATCTCTGTTGCTCAGTGGTAGAGCATCAGAGCGCGGAATCCGAAGGTTTGTGATTCGATGGGAAAGTACTCGGATTTTTTCCTTGCCCCACGTTCTGGCTTGAGAAGAAGAAAAACATCTCTCCCTATTTGATTAAGCTCAAAATTTACTAACGTTCTTATTCTAATTACAAAAATGTGTATTACAACTTAAAAAAATCAAAATAGAATTTTTAACGTGTAGTTGCTGTATTTTTCCTTAAAACAAGTAGGTAAAAAATGAAATAGTACAATTCAAATAAATAAACAGATATCTAGAATGTGAAGAGAGGTAAAGGTATCTCTAAAAAGATACATAGATTAGATTTTGTGATAAAAGAAACCACTGTACATGTCAAGTCCCAAGACATTAAAGGTTATGATGTACCTCATGTTGGTTATTTTCAATACACTTTTATGATCTTAATCAATCGGTCTGTGTTGTGTAAGTCCGAATTCAAATCTTCCGTATTCAGAACAAGACATAGGAGTTAGAAAGTCTTCAATACCAACCCATTTCAAGTGCCGGACGTCATCAAGTTTTGCATATCCCAAACTGAAAAGACAACAGTTTTCATCTTCATCAGCCAGAAGTGGTTTGACGTTACAGCTTTTTACTGAGGCGCTACGAAGAAGGTTTAGAATACACGGTAGATAGTGAAAAGTCACAAGTCGGAGCCCCCAAGTCAGTCCACTGTTGACCTAAACTTCGTTCTGACATCTCCTGCGACGGTGGTAATGCCAAACTGTAACGGTCCTGCATTTCCTTTAGATTCAGCAGTGACTTGCAGAGGGGAGCAGGCTACTTGGCAACATCTCGGTGACATTCTATCACCTTCTGAAGCTTTTCCAAACAGAATCTACTCTTGCGTCTGGAAAGAAACAGTTGGTTTCGCAATTCTATGATGGAATCAATGTAAGTAGGATATTTGGTGAATAGATGCTTCTCTTTTTCTAATTGGACTGGGTATTCTAGCTGTTAATCCATAAGTTTCTAGATTTTTCAGGACCCCATACAGATGACGCATAAGTGTTTAGCCAGTGCACCCTGGCTAAAAAACCCATCAAACATGAGTCAGACTGTAAGAACGTTCGTTTTAATTTTCAAAAAAATTGACTGGACTAGCTTATGGAGTAAGCATATTTTGCGGACACAAGCGAAGGAAGACGGAGAACTGCTTGCCTAATGGTACGCGATAATACCCTTGGCATAACTTATCTAAATTCTGATACAATGAAATATATGAAGATCATATATTTTGAACTGCGGTATTAGATACGTATGATGCACGATCCTCGCAGTAGATAGCGCTATTTAAGCAATAGCGAAAATCAGACCTGAAAAAAATCAGGCCTGTACGGGACTCGAACCACTGACCTCTGCGATACTAGTGCAGCGCTCTACCAATTGAGCTAACAAGCCAACTGGGAGCAGGCCGTTAAGTTGATTCGTAATAAACCCGTGAAAGTGATAAATGAGAT